GAGGTTGCTATGAGTCGGAATCAACTCGATGGCAGTGGGTTTTGTTTTGGTTTTTGTCACTATTGCTATCATTACCACCACCACTGAGATCCAAGCCTTAGATATGTGGTAAGATCACAAAATAAAATGGGTCCTAATTATTAGACCCCTTTTTAAAAACAGAGTTATGTGTGTAAAGATATTAAATTATCTGTTAGGCTAATATGCCTTAAAAAATGAAGTTCAGAAGGGTTGGAGATTATTTCTGACTATGGAAATTAAGTTTCAATGTAAAAAAGACATTTGAGTTGAGTCACCAAAGATGCCTGTGATTTCAAGTCTTGGGCTTAGGCAGTGGTTTTCAAATGTTGTTGTTGTTGTTGTTGTTATGTGCCATCAAGTCAGCCCCGACTCAGCGACCCCTCCTTGGGTTTCCGAGGCAGTATCACTACGGAAGTAGGATTGCCCAACCTTCCTTCCGAGGAGTGGCTGGTGTTAGGTGTTATCAAAATCACCTGGGAGGCTTCTTAAAACTCAGGGTGCTGGGTCCTAACTTCAGAGATTTGGATTCATTCAATCTCAAGTGAGACTCAAGTATTTGCATTCTTAACAATTTACCAGATCATGTTGATGCAGCTGATCCAAGGATGTTTCTTTGAGAATCGCTGATTGGGATATTCCAGGCAGAGAGGAAGTTTGTGTGAGAAAAGAAAAAGAACTGCAAATTTGCAGGGTGGGAAGTAGAAAGAGAAGCATCTAGAAAAATGGACTAGGATCTAGTTAGAAGATACAGAGACTTCATTCCTAAGGCAATTGTAGGTTTTAATGTAGGCATTTATGCTTTTCTGCATTCTTTACCTCAAAGCTGTGATTTTGGAAAGATTATTCTCACCATACTTTATAGTTGATTGACATGACCAGAAGCAGGGAAGCACATTAGGTCATCATTAAAACAGTGTTATCCGTAGATGGCAATAGATAAGAAGAGGGAGTGAGAAAAATGAGAATGTTTGTAGTGGTAGAATTATCATAGACATTATTAGACATTATATGACAGATATTGGGAAAGGGGGTATGGGACTGTTTATCTAACCAGGACAGCAATGGCAAGGCAGGTGACAGCTTGAACATGGTAACATTTATTTATTTATTTATTACTTTCACAACTTTCCAACCTTTCGTAACCCTCTTCAAAGCAGGGCTAAAATCTGGTTCAAGGCAGTTCAGTCATGGCTTATGCAGGGACATCAGAACAGATGCAAATTTATAAACTTTGAGTATATCAGAGTGATAACTAGCACAGGAAAATTATGGTTGAAGCCCTAGAATGGGAAATTGAAAGAAGTGTTATGAGCCTTTTCAGAATCTGACATAGGAGATCAGATTATTGTCAGGACTGTGGGAAGTAACATACTTTCAAAGTAAGGCAACTGGCTGCCATCTTTGACTTGGGCACCATTGTTTGCAACTCTGCAGATCAAGAAATTTGGTTGCTATGTAACACACACACTGCCTTGTTTTGTAGGAAGGAGATTAAGTTTCCAGCAGTGCATCAACCTGTAATTTTCCCCCTTCTGGTTATTGTTCCAGTACATCTACATTTTATAAATTCAGGTTCTTTCCCATTTCACTTTGTCAGCTGTGACTCAACCATTAAGAGCTGATTTGAAATGCCACTTCAATGTCTGTCCTCACTCAACCACAAGTGTCACGCAGGCAGATGATTTGTCTGTTTTGTTCACTTTTGTGGGTTCACTTGGGGCTGACCTACAGTTGGACCCCAGTAATTATTTGTTGGTTGAATGAAAGAAGAGCTGGTTTGAAGTAGGAAGTGATGGCTCCATTTTGGTATTTGTTTAAGTTCAGGGGCCAAAATGACACATGGGAGAAATAGCCACAGAGAAGCTGAGAATGTACCTTTTGAGTTTAGGACTAAAAATGTTGAACAAAGAGTCATCAATTGATATTGGTGGCTATAACCCCTAGTGTGGAAGTCAAAGTAGTGAATGACTGAATACATCCTATGATAGAGTTCTAAGGGAATTTTCAAGGCCAGAAAGAAGAGTCAACCTTTGAATATCACAAAAAATATAAAAATTCAAAATTATTTTCTTTCTTTCACTTTTAACAACTTATTTACAATGGTGGTACAGTTTATATGCATTTCATCCATTTTTGGTATGCTGTTCCTTGATTTGTTGTGTAAAAGCAGTTCATTCTAGACTGTTTCTGCAATGAGCAATTTTAAATTGACATCAATGAGAAAATATTTAGGAAAAGCAATGATTTTTCTTTTTTAGGAAAAATGCTCAACAAATGGAAAGAAAAAACAACTTCTAGCTTCCAGGCAGAAAACAAATGCTCCTGAGAGATATTATCAAAATTAACTGCAAATATAATTATTTTACAAAACAAATTATAATGCATATGCAGGTTATTTATTGTAATATTGCTTGCATTAGCAAAAGATTGAAACAATTAATCAGCTGTTGTTAGTTGTTATTAAATGCCATTGAGTCAGTTGTGAGTCATAGCAACTTGATGTACAACCAAACAAATCAGCTGAAGATAGTTAAATAATTTATGGTACATCTACAGAAAAGAATCCTATGTACCTGAAACAAAAAGTGAGACACTCTTTAGGTACTTGTAAAGAAAGACCACTAAGATACAAGGATGTCAAGGGGTGCTATATATTCTTATTTGCTTGCATTTTCATTTTTTTTAAATTGAAAATACATAAGAAACAAAAGTGGTTATCAATAAGGTAGGTAGGTAAGGGAACAAAAAGGTGGTAGATGGGAACAGGAGTTCAAACAGTCTTCACTGGGTATTTTATATTGTTTTGTATATTTAAACCATATGAATATATTGCCTATTAAAAGAAAATAAGCCTTTTTATATAGTAAAATAAATTGAGCATATTCATGAACATAAAATAGCCTCTCTCTTTCCACAGATTTAGCTGGAAAAACAGAATTGGAACAATGTCAAGTTGATGCTATTGTGGACACATTGGATGACTTCATGTCACGTTTTCCATGGGCAGAGAAAAAACAAGATGTAAAAGTAATGTGATTACTTTGCTATAACTATAATTAATCATATACTACTTGCCAAGCACTGTGTAGTTGTTGTTGTTGTTGTTGTTATGTGCCGTCGAGTCGGACCCGACTCATAGCGACCCCTCCTTGGGTTTCCGAGGCAGTATCACTGTGGAAGTAGATTGCCCAACCTTCCTTCTGAGGAGTGGCTGGTGTTATTGTTAGGTGCCATCAAGTCAGCTATGACTCATAGAGACAATACAATAGAATGAAACACTGCCTGGCCCTGCACCATCTTCCCAGTGCTGTAATTGAGCCCATTTTTGCAACCACTGGGTCAATTCATCTCATTAAGGTTCTTCCTCTTTTTCCCTAATCCTCTCTAGTGGTGTAGTGCCTAAGGCATTTGACTGCTAACTAGAAGGCTGGCAGTTCAAACCACCAGCCACTCCTTGGAAGGAAGATTGGGCAATCTACTTCTGTAGTGATACCACCTCGGAAAACCAAGGAGAGGTTGCTATAAGTCGGATCCAACTCCACAGCGGTGAGTTTGGTTTTTTGTTTTTTTCTATTTTACCAAGTATGATGTCCTTTTCCAGGGACTGATCCTTCCTGCTAACATATCCAAAGTACATGAGACAGTCCCACCATCCTCACTGTAAGCATTCCGGCTGCGCTTCTTCCAAGAGAGATTTGTTTGTTCTTCTGGAAGTCCATGGTAGAATCAATATTCTTTTCCAGCACCCTAATTCAAAGGCATCAATTCTTCTTCCGTGTTCCTTATTCATTGTCCAGCTTTCACATTGTGTTAGGTGCTTTAATAAGTTCCTTGTTATCAAAGTTATGCATACACGTAATTTTAAAACATAAAATAATATTTAAAAGCTTACAAAAAAAGTACAGAGTTCCCTGTCTGATTCCTTCACTTTACTCCTTTCCCAGATGCAACCCATTTTTAACCCCTTTAACTGTTTCTTAGGGATTCATTCTTCTCCATATTTCTATAACCAAAAACCAAACTCACTGCTGTAGAGTCGATTTCAACTCATAGTGACCCCTCCTTGGGTTTCCAAGGCAGCAGATCACTATGGACATAGATTGCCCTGTCTTCCTTCCAAGGAGTGGCTGGTGGGTTTCAACCACCAGCCTTCTGGTTAGCAGTCAAATACCATAGGCACTACACCACGAGAGCTCCTGATATTTCTATAGGATATATTAATATGGTTTTC